AAAATGATGGGCAGGAAGCATCCACTCATTTCAGGTGGAAATATACTGTGCTCTATTTTTATATTATTCTAATATAATGTAAAAACTTTTTGTACGTGTGCATGTATTGTGGGTATCCAGAGTGCAACATCACTGACTACATCAAATGAATAGCTTGTCAGTCCGCAGCACATGGTGACATCTGTGAAATACACAAAGAAAGCTCCAGCCTTTGTCCATAAAAGTGGGAATATTTTGAACTACCAAGAACCACAAGATGCAATGTACAGCCTACCATACCGATATAGGGAAAAAGGTTATGCACCGAAAACAGGTTAATGAAAAGCAGGATAGTACATTGGAGGAAAGTGAAGATTCTCATGCACGTTTCAGGCCCCTTCTCCAAACTGGGGTGCCATAAAACACATCCAGCTACACCAGAAAATTCAGATCATTATGCAGATATTCACAGCAAAAGCTGAATTTTGTTAAAATGTGCTTGGCTGAACTTGAAACCAGGTACAGCATGGATACAACATATACACACAATTCCCACGCCAGCAACTGCCTTCTGCTTTCAATCTCTTATCGCAGCAATGCCAATACTTGCGAATTTATAATATGCAAAATCATAGCTCAAGCAAATTAAGCATTGCTAGTGAACTTGCATGAGGGCTTTAGGGATTTTTAACAGTATTTTTACATATGCACACCTATTTTGTGACTGTGTACAGACACCTGATTGGCTAAAATTGTGTATGTAATTTGCCTCCAGAGAACAGAATTCAGAAGACAACGCATTTTCATCATAGACAGTAGGAACTGCAGATGCTGGAGAATCCGAGACAACAAGGTGCAGAGCTGGATGAACACAGCAGGCCAAGCAGCATCATAGGAGCAGAAAGGCTGACGTTTTGGGCCTAGACACTTCATCAGAAATGGGGGAGGGGAAGGGGGTTCTGAAATAAATAGGGAGAGAGGGGGAGGCGGATAGAAGATGGATAGAGAAGAGGATAGGTGGAGAGGAAACAGACAGGTCAAAGAGGCGGGGATGGAGCCAGTAAAGGTGAGTGTAGGTGGGGAGTTAGGGAGGGGATAGGTCAGTCCAGGGAGGACGGACAGGTCAAGGGGGCGGGATGAGGTTAGTAGGTAGGAGATGGGGGTGCGGCTTGAGGTGGGAGGAGGGGATAGGTGGGACGAAGAACAGGTTAGGGAGGCGGGGACGAGCTGGACTGGTTTTGGGATGCGGTAGGGGGAGGGGAGATTTTGAAACTTGTGAAATCCACATTGATACCATTGGGCTGCAGGGTTCCCAAGCGGAATATGAGTTGCTGTTCCTGCAACCTTCGGGTGGCATCGTTGTGGCACTGCAGGAGGCCCAGGATGGACATGTCGTCTGAGGAATGGGAGGGGGAGTTGAAATGGTTCGCGACTGGGAGGTGCAGTTGTTTATTGCAAACCGAGCGTAGGTGTTCTGCAAAGCAGTCCCCAAGCCTCCGCTTGGTTTCCCTGATGTAGAGGAGGCCACAACGGGTACAGCGGATGCAGTATACCACATTGGCAGATGTGCAGGTGAACATCTGCTTGATGTGGAAAGTCTTCTTGGGGCCTGGGATGGGGGTGAGGGAGGAGGTATGGGGGCAGGTGTAGCACTTCCTGCGGTTGCAGGGAAAAGTGCCGGGTGTGGTGGGGCTGGAGGGGAGTGTGGAGCGGACAAGGGAGTCACGGAGAGAGTGGTCCCTCCGGAAGGCAGATAAGGGTGGGGAGGGAAAGATGTCTTTGGTGGTGGAGTCGGATTGCAGATGGTGGAAGTGTCGGAGGATGATGCGTTGGATCCGGAGGTTGGTGGGGTGGTACGTGAGGACAAGGGGGATTCTTTTTTGGTTCTTATTGCGGGGACGGGATGTGAGGGATGAGTTGTGGGAAATGTGGGAGACACGGTTGAGGGCGTTCTTGACCATTGAGGGGGGGAAGTTGCGGTCCTTGAAAAACGAGGACAACTGTGACTACAAAGACAACGAGGACAACGGGAGTGGAATGCCTCATCCTGGGAGCAGGTGCGGCGGAGGCGAAGGAATTGGGAATAGGGGATGGCATTTTTGCAGGAAGGTGGGTGGGAGGAGGTGTATTTTAGGTAGCTGTGGGAATCGGTGGGCTTGAAATTGATATCGGTTTCTAGGTGGTTGCCCGAGATGGAGACAGAGAGGTCTCCATCTCTTCTCCATCTTCTATCCGCCTCTCTATCTTTCCCTATTTATTTCAGAACCCCCTTCCCCTCCCCCATTTCTGATGAAGGGTCTAGGCCCGAAACGTCAGCCTTTCTGCTCCTATGATGCTGCTTGGCCTGCTGTGTTCATCCAGCTCTGCACCTTGTTGTCTCGCATTTTCATCATATTTGGGTACTCAAATTGTACCACTAGTAACAGACTATTTGAACACATCAGTAGCCTGCAGAATACCATCATGTCTTGAAAAAGAGACTTTGCACAACAGAACTGCAATTGGTAAATATCTGCTGAGAAATGCAAAATGTGAGAGAAACAGCAATTCCAGTTTATTGAAGCTTCTGGAGTTTATCTGACATAATAAAATCAGATGTTGTTCCATGTGCTTGAATTGGCGACTGTAGAGACCCAGTTAGATGGAGATTATAATGTTCAGGACAGGATGTTTCACTACGACTTACATTTGATCCTGACTAGTATAAAATGCAGAGTGCCCTTGGAGTGTTTAATAGGTCTCTCAAAACATCTTAAGGGTCACTTTACAAAAGTCAGTTTATAAGTGAGAAAGAGAGAGACCCAGAGACTCCATGTTGCTGAAGTGGCACTGTGTGCGTGTGGTTTAGATGCTGACATACAGGCTGGCTAATACAGTGAGATAAAGCCTAGAGGTAGGTTACCCCTGCTGAAAAGACCAAGGAGGGTATGGCTGGGAGCTCAAGAAAACTCATGGGTAGCACCAGCTTGGTGAAACTAGCTGTTTGGTAAACATCTGGAATTTCACTGGTAATTAGGATAAGGATCCTGAAGAATGCAGTCTCAGAAGAGGCTGAACTACCATAATGTGAGCAGTTATCCAAACAGGCCACAATGGAACCGCTTTGACGGGAGCTCCGAGGATAGAACTTTAAAATAAAGAATTGAAATTCCTTGAGAAGGAGGCAAAGTTTAATGCGATCTGGTAATCTACAGTGTCTACCAAATGTTGGACACTGTTACAAGTTTTGCAAGTGTGGTCTGGTTAGCTATGGTCAGCAGCTTGCTAAACATTTGGATGGATATGCTGTTTGATACGAGCCACCAGTCTTTGGAACTCCTGACCTACGTGCCTAGCATCACATCTGCACTGCAATTCATTTGTTGTATTATTTATTAGTCTGATAGACAGAATGTCTTTTTGGCTTGATGGCAGCCTCCTGCTATGCCAGTGATTCTCCAATACTGTGGCTAGCTGATTAGATCATTTCTAACTATATATTGTGTTACAATGACGGGTCAAAATTTCAAAGCACTGTGGACATTTTTATCTTGTACTTCAGAAATGAGTTTTTTAAAAGGGAGCTGTAACAGCCAAAAATGGTTGCGATTGAAAATAAGTGGCTGTCTAGAAAGATGTGGAGACCAATGGAATGTAGCATCTAAAGTATCAGAGAAACTTCAAGCAGACTAGACTGTGATCTCATGTGACTACAAAGACAACCAGGAGCTGACAACTGCCTGCTCTACAGCAAGCCACCCTGTAGATTATGGTCCAAACTGCAGTCACATTTTGCATAATAAAAACCAAAAACACTGTGGATGCTGTAAATCAGACACAAAAACAGAAATTGGTGGAAAAGCTCAGCAGGTCTAGCAGCATCTGTGGACCGAAATCAGAGTTAATGTTTTGGGTCCAGTGACCCTTCCTCAGAATTGAAGACTTTTGTTTTGTTGTCACATTTTGCATTTTCCTTTTAAAGAATGCAGTGAGGAGGGGTTAAAAATTGAGTTTCAACTTTACTGGGACAGACGATTGGGACTGAATGCTCGTGTGTACTATCCTGGAATTGAACATCAGCATGCTGTGAAGGTCACAGTCAAAGAGCTATCCATTATTTAACCCTGTGTTGAAGTCAGAAAAGGCTGTCTCTCATTTCAATCACTGAAAACCAGTTAGAGGAAACACAACAACAAAGGATTCGTCCTCACCCTGAATGCTGAAATTCAATCACGACCATAGAACACAGAATTACAGCACAGGAACAGGTCCTTCGTCCACCATGTCTGTGCTGACCATGATGGCTTTCTAAACTAATCCCATCAGAAACTCAATCTGTCTGCAAAACTAAGTTTTGTGAAGCCAACTAAGTGTTTAACTACCAACATCAATATGACAGTAACCTCCACAGCAATGGCTGCAACATTTGACTAACTGCTCTTCATGAACAATTCAGAGACTGATCCGTACACCTTTTTTAAAATAATCTTTAATCTTTTGGAACCCCTATTATTTCTATGTTGTGTGTATGTGTGTTGAATTTGTACTTCTCGTATTTAGTAATTCAATATCTCACTAATTTTGCTGATTCAAGCAAGCCTGGTTAAATTACCTACCTACACAGCCAGATCATCCCCAATGGACTCCAAACAACATTCAGACCATCCCAATTTGGCCCAAAATGCAGCAACCACTGCCTACAGTGGACCCAGAACCTCCAAAAATGGTTTTCTCTGTGGATCCTCAGGTCCACACTCGCAGCAATGCGTCAGCATCTCCTCACACTATAGTCAACCTTACCCTAGCTCAGAGCCTCTCTCTTCCAGACCTGCAAGGGACCTCAAACAGAAGTTGCTGGAAAAGCTCAGCAGGTCTGGCAGCATCTGTGAAGAAAAAAATCAGAGTTAACGTTTGGCATCCGGTGACCCATCCTCAGAATTTCTGCTTTTCATTCTGCACAGGATCCACACCCTCAACCAACACTTCTTCTCTACCATAACTAACATCAAAGACTGTAAGGATACAAACTTACTTGTGCTTACCACCAAACACAGGCCTCGTCCACTGCCCCAGAACCCAACCCTATCCAGGACCTCCCTCTCAATGTGCCCGGCGCCACTAACCATGTGGTTGCCTTGGCCTCTCCTGTTGATGCCATCAACTACATCACTTCCGCTGCTGCCGACCACGCCGATGCCACCACCGCCAATGTCACTTTTACTTCCACTTATATGAACGTCCCCATCCATAGACCCTCTCCCCAGACAGTCTTCGCCCCCACTGCTCGACACCCAACCCCAGCCCCAAGCCTTGTCAGGTCTTCACCATCCCCCCAGACCACTCTCTCACTGAGGACGAATGGTCAGTCCTCAGCAAAGGACTCACCTTCATTCCCCTGCGCCCACACATCAATGAATTCCATTCACATCTGGATGTTGAACGTTTCTTCCGTTGTCTCTGCCTCTGGGCCTATTTCTTTGACAGGGAATCTAACCCACACTCTGCAGACCACTTCTCATCCAACAAACCTCATCCTTCTGGACACCACCCAATGGCCTCTTACCCTCCCTCGACCTCTTCATATCCAACTGCCAATGCAACATTGATCGCCTCAATCTCTCCACCCCTCTCACTCACTCCAAATTCTCTCCCACAGAACACACAGCCCTCTGCTCCAACCTTAACCTCACCATTAAACCTGCGGATAAGAGGGCACAGTAGTGGTATGGAACACTGACTTCTACATCACATTCTCTCTGACAGCTCCTCCTACCCCCACTTCAATTATGATCCCACCCCTGATCACCAGACCATCATTTCTCAGACCATCCATCACCTCATCGCCTCAGGAGACCTCCCACCCACAGCCTCCAAGCTCATCGTTCCCTAACCCTGCATCGCATGGTTATATCTCCTTCCCAAAATCCACAAACCTGACTGCCCTGGTCGACCCACTGTCTCTGCCTGCTCCTGCTCCACTGAACTCATCTCCATGTACCTTGACTCTGTCTATTCCCCCCCGGTCCAGGAACTCCCAACCTGCGGCTGGGACATCACCCGTGCCCTCCACCTCCTCCAAGACTTCCAATTTCCTGGCCCCCAAAACCTCATCTCTACCATGGACATCCAATCCCAGTACACTTGTATCCCTCATACAGATAGCCTAAAAGCCCTCTGCTTCTTCCTCCCCCACACACTCAACCAGTCCCCTCTGCCGACACCCTCATCCATTTAACAGAACTTGTCCTTACCCTGAACAACTTCACCTTTAACTCCTCCCACTTCTTACTAACCAAGGAGATGGCTATGGGCGCCCAAATGGGTCTGAGCTATGCCTGCCTCTTCGTAGGATATGTGAAACAGTGCTTTTTCCGCTGTTACACTGGCACCATTCCTCACCTCTTCCTCCGCTACATTGATGACTGTGTTGGGGCTGTTCATGCTCCCGTGAGGAGCTTGAACAGTGCATCAACTTTACTAACACTTTTCAGCCCTACCTCAAATTCACCTGGACCAATACCTCCCTCCCATTCCTAGACCTTTCCATCTCCATCTCTGGTAACCTCCTCAACACTGACATGTATTTGAAACCCACCGATTCCCATAACTACCTGGACTACACCTTCTCTCACCCACCCTCCTGTAAGAATGTGATCCCTTACTCCCAATTCCTCTGCCTCCTCTGCATCTGCTCTCAGGGTGGAGCGTTCCACTCCCGGACATCCCAGATGTCCTCCTATTTCAAGGACCACAACATCCCCCCTCCGGTGATCAAAAATGCCCTCAACTGCATCTCTTGCATTTCCCACATTTCTGACCTCAAATTCCCTCCCCTAACAAAAATAAAGACAGAATCCCCCGGTCCTCACGTACCATCTCACCAACTTCCTCTTCTAGCATATCATTCTCTGCCACATCTGCCACCTACAATCCGACCCCACGACCAAAGATATATTTCCTTCCCCACCCCATCTGCCTTTCGTAGGGACTGTTCTCTCCGAGATTCCCTCGTCCGCTCCACTCTCCCCACTAACCCCACTGCCCTCGGCACCTTTCCCTGCAAACACAGGAAAAACACCTGCCCCTACACCTCCCCCCTCACCTCCATCCAAGGCCCAAAGCAAACTTTTCGTATCCAACAGGGGTTCATCTGTACATCCTCCAACCTGGTCTCCTGTATCTGTTGCTCCCAATGTGGTCTCCTCTACATCGGTGAGACCAAGTGCAGACTGAGGGACAGTTTCATGGAGCATCTGCGCTCTGTACATGACAATCGACAACACCTTCCAGTTGCCAACCGTTTTAACTCCCCCTCCCACTCCCTTGATGACATGTCCATCCTGGGCCTCCTCCAGTGCCACAATGACGCCACACGCAAACTGGAGGAGCAACACCTCATATTGTGCCTCAGGAGCCTACAGTCTGATGGCCTTATCATAGGATTCACCAGTTTTAAAATCTCCCCACCCGTGGCCTTATCCTACGTCTAACCCTCACTCTCATCCCTGCTTCCTTGACTTGTCCATCTTCTTCCCCACCTATCCACCCCACCCATCCCACTGATCAAACCCCACCATTCGCTACCTGCATTCACCTGTCACCATCCCACCTAATTTCCCCAGCCCCACCCCTCCTCCCGCTATTTATTTCCCAGCTCTCTTCCCCATCCCCATTTCTGAAGAAGGCTCTAGACCCGAAACTTCAGCTTTCCTGCTCCTCTGATGCTGCCTGGCCTGCTGTGTTCCTCCAGCTCCACACTCTCTGACTCCAGCATCTGCAGTTCATGCTATCTCCTGGTTAAATTGGTTCCAGTTAAAGCATAAGTTTATTTGGGTCTGTGTGAAAAGTGTCCACTGGGTAAGGGATCCTTTCTGGATTAGCCTTGTTGCAACCAACTGAAGGGAAATGAATGTATATAATTACCTGTGTTTTGTCTCGTTCACTTTTGGAATAAAGGCGTTACATTGGCAATTTGTAAACCCTGTGGCACTTTTCCAGAATCTAAGGATTCCCAGAAGATTACTAGCAGTGCATCCACTAACTCCATGGCTAGAATCTGTGGACTGGCACACCTGTACAGAATCAGTGAAACTTCAACCAGAAACACCACAGGAGGAAGAGATAACGGGAGGTTGACTACACACCCTCTTCTCAGCAGGAAGCTACCTCTCACAGACAAGTTTGTGTGTTACCCTTCCAGGGATATACAAAAAATTGGGTTAACAACTGCAACCTCTCATCTGTGTACTAGTAGCCTGATGTACTACTGTGTGTATAGACTAATGTAGTGTTAAAGTCTCAGTTTGAGAACTGCCATTAAAAAGCTCTGCACTGCTGGTAAAAGAAGAAACTCTTTCTCTCTCTCTTTGAGTGTTGCCAGCCAAACAGCCAGGGTAGAAGAGCAACTAGCTGAGGAGATGCATGAATAAAGAAGAGCTTCTCACTTGGGAGATTAACAATTTGGGACAACTCCTCTGGAACTCCCTGTTTCCCAGCAGCCTGTCTATGAGGGCAGGATTGTGACAGCAGGATACATCTCACCACCTGACTCCTACCTCTGATATTAAATTCTGGGCCTGGGAATCAACTTGTTCCTCATTAACCTTATATTAATCTATGAATTAACAGGAGACAAACTAACCAAATCTTCGCTGCAAAAGTCTTTTTATAATTCTCTTAACCGTAAAGTTGAAATGCGTCCTTTCTGTCAATAGGGGACACAGCTTGTGATTCATTTTACAAGATTGAATCAAACAAAACTGCCATGAGTAGTAGATATCAGAGTTTTTTCTTTTTTGAAGAATAAACTCCATGCTGGTTTACACTTTTGTTTACTGTATTCCTGAAAGCCTCTAATCTTGATATCTAGGGATGCTGCCAGACTATGGTAGAAAGTGAAAATGGAGGTGAACCTGGTTGTGAAGCATCTGCTGTCAGGAGCTCATAATCTTTCTTTTATTCAGTTTTTTTTTGCAGTTAACCAAACTGACTAGCTTAACCAGCCTGGCTAATGGCAGGGAGGGAGAGTGGGAAGAAATCACCACAAGATACCTTCGGGGTTAATCAGCAAATTCAGTTTTAGGTAGGGTTTGGTGGGGTGGGGGTATACAGGGAAATAAAAAGATTGGTTATCAAAGTTTGGAAACAGAGAAAGTTGACCAATGGGGCTTGCATGGGAATTAAATTGGTCATTGTCACGAGGAGGTGGGAAAGAAAGAAAACATTGGAGCTAAAGAGTGGGAGAGGCCAGAGGGACTCATGAGAGTTTGCAGGTAAGTGGGGGAACAGAGAAAAGCTATGTTTTGCTGGGAGATGGTTTCCTTAGGAAGCCAAGGACAGCACTCTTATCTGTTTTGTATACTGGAAATAGCGCAATTTTTAAGGAGCAAGCACCTACCACCTCCTTCTCAGTGCTAGATTTCCTAACTTTGACAAACGTGTGCAGCAACAGCTAGTTTAAACAGAAATCAGAAAGTGCTGGAGAAACTCAGCAAGCCAGGCAGCATCTGTGGAAAGAGGAACAGAGTTAACATTTCAAGTCTGATAGGATACTTCGTCATCCACATTAGGCACAAATCTGATCTATAACCTAAAGCTTCTGACTCAGAGGCAGAGGTACTATCTACTGAGCCAGAGAACCTTCTCCTCATCATTTCGCTTTTAGCAATAAATGAGACAAGCTCATAAGTTCCCTTACTACCAAGATCGAGCTTATTGATTCTACTGCCTCTTCCACATTCCTCACAAGTTAAGAGATTTAAATTAATTAGTTGGATTTAGCGTTGAGTGTAGTGAAAAGCAAATTGTAATCAATCTTGGTGTTGCAGTTGGTCAGTGCGTTTGGCCGTTTACCAAAAGGTTAGTGGTTCGAGATGACCCACGGACAAAACATTTGTTCCCTGATGGGGAGTATATGCTATCTCTGAATTGGCAGTGCACATTTAAGGGTGTGTTCTTTGTCCTGTTGTAATAGTTGAGTGGTTAAAGCGATGGATTTGAAATCTATTGTGATCTGCCCACGTGGAGTCGAACACTGCCAACTGCATTTCTCATCTTCCTTCATTCTTCACGTTTGGGGGCCCTCTTGCAGTTCAGTGGTAGTGTCCCTGCCCTAGAATAGGGAGGCCTGGGTTCAAGTCCCACCTGTTCCAGAGGTGCGTAATAAACATCTCTGAACAGGTTGATTAGAAAAATAGGTTAGTGCTAAAATAAAAGAAAAGCATGTTGTAGAGAATTGACAGCTGGTTTT